TCCAGTCGACGATAGGCGAACGGTTGCTCGCGGAGAGGTCCTAGGTAGAGTTCCGTGTCGCTATCGGCTCGGGATCGTTGCCGCCACCGAGCGATCCTCGCTAGCGACACGACGCCGTCGATCTGGCAACGAAAACCGGAGGCGATCGCGTGCATCGCGCCACTTTTGTCCCGCACTCGCGCGCGTGATTTCGACGGGCCGCGTAACCTGCCACTTTACTCCTTCGATTCGACCAACGTTCCCCACACGGACGAAGAAATTACCCTGTGTTACCGTGTCGGGAAGCGTTCTCGATTCCAGCCGCGATACGATAACCAGGGAATACGTATCTCTCGAACGCTTATCGTCATCGCGATGATTGCCACGCGACGATACCTCCGCGCCGCTCGCCGAGTCGCCAGGGAGAGCCAATTACTTCGTTGAGCCGGTTACCCTAACTACGCCGGTTTTCCGTACTTTTCACTCGTTTAGACCGCGGACGATACGCGGTGAGCGGCGACTGCACGCGAGAATGAACGTGGAAGGACTCGGATGTAGGTCAGCTCGCGGTGACAATAGCGTTTCGTGGCAGTTTATCCGTTTCGTCGGACGAACGAACGAAATGGCGGATTCTTTGGGAATCTCGACGAGGACCGCGGCGACGCGAGCGGATAAACTCGTCCATCTATCGCGATCCAGCCGAGACGGTCGCCGATTTGACTCGCCACGCGGTCGAGTTATCGGCGCCATCGTCGCTTACAGCCAGCCGGAATTTCGCTGGAATTTGCATAGAGCGGTCTGCCTCGTTGATAGGGCAACTCGAAGCGCGCCGACGCGGATTAATCTCCGAATAGATCTCGACGAATTACTCGCTCGAGGACGGGACAACGTGTCCTCCTGAAATAGATTTCAGAGGGAACACGGGGATGTCGTTTCCGTTGCATCTTTTTCTTCCGCGAGACGATTCGAGAGTTTCGCGATTTCCGGGAAACTGGTTCTTATCCGTTTTCGCAGGAAAATCTTTAGTCGGCAATTAGTCGTTTACCTCGCGCGTTCGGTCTCCGATGATTCTAGCGCGATTAAGGTCCCCGAGGACCCGGCGTGTTTAGCATACCGGCGACGCGGTAGATATTTCCAGATTTCCCTCGGGGAAAGGGTGCAGCTTAAACAGTTTCCGCTTTAAAATCTGTTTCCATCGTGTCACGCATTGCCTATCGTCGAATCCTCTTCCACTTTTCTTCCTCTTTCCTGGCTCTCTCTCTCGTTCTCCATTAGGCGTCCCGTTCACCGCCCTTTTCCTCATTTCCCCTGACGAGGTCGCATCGACACTCCCTTATCTCTTCATCTTTGTTCGTCCGTACATCCCGGGTCTTATCTCGGATGTAATCACCGTCGAGTCACCGAGTTAGGCTCGCTCGCCGACACCGGTAACCCTGCACGAGTTGCACGTCGCTCGGTCGCCTCGTCCCCCTTTAGCAGGGTGAAAATCTCGCGGCCGGGAACTTTGACGGCTCGTAATCGCGTGGAGGATACGGCCAAATGATTCTCCGGTGGGCTATGCGGAAGTTGGCCTGTAAAGCTAGCCCAGTGGCGCGAGGAACGGCGAGAACCCGAACGACGTCGCGGTAATTCCGGGGAAAACGATTAACGAACGGCCGAGATATTGCCCGGGGAGGTCGTGAAACCGTGTGCAGCCTCGTAACGTCCGTGCTGTCCCAGCTCGTCGAGTGACCGTTTTAATCGATCCTCTTCCTCCACCCGCCCCGTTTCTTTTCCACCGCTTGAAAGACGTATTCGAGACGACGGAAGTCCGTTTTATCGGTCCGGAGTAATTCCGGCCGTGCCGCAGCGAACCCCGCCGCGCCACGCCGGGGACTCTTAACCTTCCCTGAAATCCGTCCACGATATTTCGCCGAGGCCCCGGCCGATAAAAGCCACGAGCAGCGAAAAAAGCTCGCCGGTGGGTGGGCTCGTTTTAATGCATTGCTACGAGGACTTCATCGGCTTTGACCGACGTATAATTGGATCAATTCGACGGAGCGGCAGATTTAATTGACATTGCATAATTAAGTCCTTGGCTTCGGTCTTTATTCCGCGAGACGAACGACAGGGACGACGTTCGTTCGCCGTGGATTTGATATTCGTTTCGCGCGCAACCGTTACGTATAATACCCTGCCCGACGAGACGAGCAATATCGCGATATTCGGTTGATCCGGCGCACGGCGATACTAGCGCCACTCGAGCGTAACTTATACCCGCGACGCGATCGTTCGCCATTAGTCCGTGCGCAGCGCTCGCGAGCCCTATTTTCCCTCTGAAAGTTGGCAATTAAAGGAAAAAAAGATGGCGAGAGGGCGGAGGCGGGGAACGGGGGAAGGCGGGACACTGCTCGACGAGAAAGAGCAAACATTGCCGTTGCGGGCCGTTCTCGAGGGCCATTCGACGAACCTTTTCACGGGCCTGTTTCGATTTCGTTGGTCAAACGTCATCCAGTGACCTCGGGTTCGTTCCCTTTTAGCCCGGAATTCTATCGCCGACGGCCGCCACTGCGGCTCGGCGAGGGTACCTTGACGGTAATAATTAACGTGCTCATCATCGTGCCGCAAGGACACGCGAACGGATTTCGTGACGGATAGACGCGCGGTGCTCTTGTGTGCAGCCGCGGCGATGAAAGGGCTCCGGGTCGACGTTGACGCGGACATGCATTCGCGACGAGATCCGCGCTGACAATGCGCGCAGGAAGCTGCACGGTGCGGTCCGGATGGAAAGTGACATGGTTAAGTGACACGAGGGCGCGGCATCTCGAAAGTAGCGCGACTCAGCTTCGAGGAAGCGACCATCTTTCATCACCGTCGATGACTCGCGCGTTCGGTGAAACGGACGGTGCATCCTCGCGACGAAGAGGAAGGGTGTTTCGATTTTTCGAGGCGGGTCGCGGGGTTGAACGATCGAGAGGTTGGTTCGAAGCCGGCGAGCACGCCGGGACGGGTAGATTAAGACGGGGTAAGGGCACGAGAGGTCGTATCGCCGGGGAAATTTCGACGCGGCGGAAATTTTATGTCGCAGCGAAGCGGACGGCGAACGAGCGGGCGTAATTGGATCGATATTACGGCGGCAACTTTATACACCGTCGGCCCTGCAATTTCAATTTTGAATAGCAATCGCCACTCGTTACGTGATACGGGAATACAAAAAGCACAGTCGAATTTTCACAATTGATCGAATCAGCTTTAGCCGCCAGGTGGAATCGAATCGGGCAACCGCGCGTGTTGCCGCATTGTCAAATTACCCGTGAACGCTTACCGATTCCACCTTTTTTCCCAAATGGACGTCCCGATGCGTCGGGAATATTTGCCCGTCGGTTTCTCCCGTTGCACCGTCGCTAACGAAATAACGCTGCCTGCATGCTCGAATCGCCGTAATAACGACGGTAATAATAATATTAATAATAATAACGGGAACTCGAGCGGAATAGAAAATTCTCTGCCATTCGGGTGGCGCCTAATTCGAATCGGCCTTCGCCAGACGGATGGTCCGCAGTTACCGCGAGCTCCTCCCAGTCATAACTCGAGATTTGCATCGGGACTCGGCGCCCGAACCGACGCGCTAATTAATTTTCTCCTTTATCAGACAGCCGTCGGATAAAGTTTATCGCGATAGGAGCCGCAAAGGCAAGAGACCACCTAATCACGACGGCGAAATTGACCGTGAACTTTGGGCAATCCCTCGCTTTCCTATCGGAAGAACGACTCACCGACGTCGCGGTTTGAACGAATAACTCGGAATAAATGGCGTGCTATGAATCGAGGAAATTTCGTTTGATCGCGGCTGCCGTCCCCCTTTCTCTCGTTCGATTCGTTCGGTTGCGTGCGTGGCCCGTGTCGATCAGTCGGGGATGAAAGGAGCAAGGGATTACAGGGGTAGGAGATACTGGTCAATCCCAGCGGCTCGGCGCTAATAACCGTGGAACACGAAGACGAGTTATGACAGGTGGTGTCGTGGGTCGTTCGGTAGGGTGGAATTGCACGGACGACATGTGCCATTGTTCCACTAACCCTCCACCCCCGTCGGCCCTCGCACCCTCGCGTACGCGTCCCTTCGCTCGCCGCGCGTCTTCTATTAGCGGCGCGCAATCTCGTTCATCCGACGTTCCCTTGGCAGCCAAGGTGTGCACGCTTTTCCAGCTCGGATCCCGGTTATGGCACGCTTCGTTGACGCTTCACGACCGCCGCGGAAACTGTCGCGCACGGAGCTGGCTGAACGTGAGGCAGTAAAAGGCGAGATTCTACGCGGAATAATATCGGCGTTAAAGGCGAATAATCGTAAACGATGGCGAGCCGGCACTCTCTTTTACGAACGCGCGAGAAGGAGGAAGCATTTGCGAGCGATCCAGTGGCTTGGGGGTTCACGGAACGCGGATAATTTCGGGTCGGAAGCTCGTAACGCGCTGACGATCCCCGACAAACGATATCCCGTGAGACGGGCGATTGGCCGAACGCGCTTTTATCCGCGAATTTGGGTAGGACTCGAGCCGGATCCGTGACCGATCCGTGAAAGCGCTCGACTCGGCAGCGAGGGCAAAACACGGGAAGCGCGATGATTATAATCGCGCTTCGATCTCTTTGACAGATTTTCGTCGTTTCCTAAAACGCGACGGGCGGTCGTTTGATCATCGTGGTTGGTAATCCAACGTCGCCTCAAAGCGACATAATTATTATCCCTGTGTCCAAAGTTCCCGTTCAAAGCCCTGAATCGGCGGCTGCCTCTCAGGAAGCGCGCTCGAATCGATCCGATCGGTCTCCGCATCCGAGCACGTATCTCGTTAATCGATTCGATTCATGTTCGGCCTGCGCGGAATTTCAATTAGCCCCGGGAAGAATACTGTCGTGCACGGTAATCACGACGTAAGCGTGCATACGCAGAGGGCAGCAAGGGCGCGGACAGGAGCGACGACACACCCCTTTCCGAATGCGTCCCGCGTGCACTCTGCACGATCGTTAACGAGCCGGTCGGTTTTCAGGTGATAATAGCGGCACGCTGTGGAGGTTAAGGTGGCTGTCGCGGCGGCGGCTGAAGAAGTGGCGAGGTGGGTGAAAATCGGCGCCGGGAGCGGTCGATCCGGGCAGCGGTAGTGGTGGCGGAACGGCAGGGGTAAGTGGCACCATTTCGCCGATTTCTCTCATTATCGCGTCGTCCAAACCCCTTACAATCGATCACGGTGTCCCTCGCGACGTTGGTGCCGTTCTCTCGTCACCGATCCGAGTACTCGACCTACAGGGGACTAATCGGAGCCAAGTTCTAGCCGCGATTCGAAGCTCGCCGAGACGAATGATCGACGGCATCGATATCTCGTCGTACCTTGGAACGCCGCAACGAGTTTTCGGCTCGATGCCGCGAGCTGAAAGAATATCCGCGGGGAGGAAGGAAACGGACAACGTCCCGTCGTCGCCGTAGTTCGAATCGAGTAATCGAACTCTTATCGAACGGTTCGAGTCGGTTCTCGTCGGGGTAATCGAGTGGCGCGATAGGAATCGCGGATTGAACCGTCGGCGAATCGATTAAGGCATTATCTCGCGGCATTATGCCGCTTTCGTGACTATATCGGTCGATAAACGGAGGGAAAAAAGCAGGCCGAGACATACGGTTATCGCGGTTCATGTTACGCGGCCCGGAATTAAGTAGCTCGCTCGGTGCAAATTGAAAATATCGCGATCCGATAACGAGGGGAACGCTTTCTCCCTCTGCTATTTATCGGCCGCATTGATTGCCGGCTCGGGGAAACGTATAATTATATTCGAATACGCGATTAGAGCACCGGCGTAATTTATAGTTGGGTTTAATTGAAACGCAAACGCCGCGATATCGTTTTACTTTTTCGCCATTGTTAACGAATCGCGGGGGGCCAGGCGCGTGCAGGCCGATTCGATCTTCCGCATCGGTGTCTCGCGGGGATAAGGCCGCGGGAAATTTTAGTCGAGATAGCCGGCTTCGATAACGCGTTTTCAGCGGTCGGTTAGCTCGCTCGAACTAATTTCGCGTATCGTAACGATTGGTCGGTATCGGTATAGGAAAGCCCGTTTCGCGCGAGTAACTTTCTGAAGGAAGGAGTGGTGGACCCCTCGCGGCCAAAGGGTTGCGGTCTATCGCCGCAATCGGTAACTCCGCCATCTAACCCTGCTAACACGGTCGTTTATGATTTACAGGTACTATGGGAGCGGGGGTATGGGGGGCGGAGGAGGGCTACAAGCCACGGACCTCCGGCGAAGGCTCGAGTCCCGGTGTTCAGGAAGCACTTGTCCCCAGAGCCCTCGTTCCTTAAGGCACGATGGCTGCCGAGCACCCGACGAGGGGAACAGCCGTGACCAGGAAGAAAGGTAAATCGCGTAGTCCTTTTCTAAGCCGATCTTATTTCCCTATCGCACCTTGCCTCCATATCGCTTGGCGGCTGAAGAAGTGGCGAGGTGGGTGAAAATCGGCGCCGGGAGCGGTCGATCCGGGCAGCGGTAGTGGTGGCGGAACGGCAGGGGTAAGTGGCACCATTTCGCCGATTTCTCTCATTATCGCGTCGTCCAAACCCCTTACAATCGATCACGGTGTCCCTCGCGACGTTGGTGCCGTTCTCTCGTCACCGATCCGAGTACTCGACCTACAGGGGACTAATCGGAGCCAAGTTCTAGCCGCGATTCGAAGCTCGCCGAGACGAATGATCGACGGCATCGATATCTCGTCGTACCTTGGAACGCCGCAACGAGTTTTCGGCTCGATGCCGCGAGCTGAAAGAATATCCGCGGGGAGGAAGGAAACGGACAACGTCCCGTCGTCGCCGTAGTTCGAATCGAGTAATCGAACTCTTATCGAACGGTTCGAGTCGGTTCTCGTCGGGGTAATCGAGTGGCGCGATAGGAATCGCGGATTGAACCGTCGGCGAATCGATTAAGGCATTATCTCGCGGCATTATGCCGCTTTCGTGACTATATCGGTCGATAAACGGAGGGAAAAAAGCAGGCCGAGACATACGGTTATCGCGGTTCATGTTACGCGGCCCGGAATTAAGTAGCTCGCTCGGTGCAAATTGAAAATATCGCGATCCGATAACGAGGGGAACGCTTTCTCCCTCTGCTATTTATCGGCCGCATTGATTGCCGGCTCGGGGAAACGTATAATTATATTCGAATACGCGATTAGAGCACCGGCGTAATTTATAGTTGGGTTTAATTGAAACGCAAACGCCGCGATATCGTTTTACTTTTTCGCCATTGTTAACGAATCGCGGGGGGCCAGGCGCGTGCAGGCCGATTCGATCTTCCGCATCGGTGTCTCGCGGGGATAAGGCCGCGGGAAATTTTAGTCGAGATAGCCGGCTTCGATAACGCGTTTTCAGCGGTCGGTTAGCTCGCTCGAACTAATTTCGCGTATCGTAACGATTGGTCGGTATCGGTATAGGAAAGCCCGTTTCGCGCGAGTAACTTTCTGAAGGAAGGAGTGGTGGACCCCTCGCGGCCAAAGGGTTGCGGTCTATCGCCGCAATCGGTAACTCCGCCATCTAACCCTGCTAACACGGTCGTTTATGATTTACAGGTACTATGGGAGCGGGGGTATGGGGGGCGGAGGAGGGCTACAAGCCACGGACCTCCGGCGAAGGCTCGAGTCCCGGTGTTCAGGAAGCACTTGTCCCCAGAGCCCTCGTTCCTTAAGGCACGATGGCTGCCGAGCACCCGACGAGGGGAACAGCCGTGACCAGGAAGAAAGGTAAATCGCGTAGTCCTTTTCTAAGCCGATCTTATTTCCCTATCGCACCTTGCCTCCATATCGCTGGCAATTAAATCGTTCGCCTCGAAGAAATTCCCAATCCAATTCCGCAATCGTTCGAGTCCGCTCGAATCGATTTCGAGGACGATCGCGTATACGTACCGTGTACAGTCGTTCTAACACGGGGGAAATTCGTTTTTCCGGTAGAGTTGACCCGCAAGCGACTCTCGCTTCCGGTCAACCCACGTGTACAAGTTCCCGGCGGTGCAGACGACAGGCGAACGAGGAGAATGGACAAGAGAAAGGTTCGAGGTGCTCGAACGGCGGATCCAGCGTAATCGGCCCGCTACGCGGAAAGCTGCGGCTCTCCGTTGGAAGGTCCATCGACACGGAGGCTGAGCAGGAGGAAGGAGCGAACGGGAAGAGGCATCGGCTTCGATGGTGTCGCAGGGACTTTCGGTGGATCGCGGATGTGGCGACGAGGACCCTGCTCCTCGGTATCGTGCTCTTCGTCACGCCAGGTACGTCTTCCCTCGTCGAAACGCGCAGAGGACGCGCCCGTCCTTCGTGGCCTCTTCAAACGGTGCGCCCGAGCACGCGTTTGTTTCATTACCGTTTACCGGTTTCTCGAGTTGTACATTAATTAGCGAAGCTCGGTAATCGGAACGAGTCTGCTGGGTCACGATAATAGCTTTCCATCGTCTCTCTATCTCTCTCTCTGGAGCACGATCGACCGATCGATCTTGGATTCACCGTGGCGTGGCTGGATGCGCGTAGGCCAGGCCCGTAATGACGTCGATTGAGATCGAGCGGAGAGAGTTTCCGTCAAGATACCTCTCGTAATTGGTAATACGTATCTGCGTCATAGCGTACAATTACGCGTGCATTCGGTCGTCCGCTCGTGCGTTTCGCCGTCAAGCTCTGGGAACCCGCCGGATGACGAGGCCATCGATTTCCCTCAGCCTCTACTCTCGATCGTTTTTTCTCCCTCGAGGGACGATCGGTTTACTCCCCTTTCGTTCCTCCGCCGGGGCAATAGTCTTCGACGTTTCTCGAACGTCGTTTCCGCGTTTCCTCGCGGTTTCCGCGTCGCAAACCGAGGCTAGTTTCTCACCGCGAGCGACGCTCTGCCATCGGCGGCCATCGCGATTTCAGAGCAGCTTTCGTCGCCGACGAAACAGACGGCCTGGAAACGACACCTGATCCAAACCATTCTCTCACCTGTATTCTTCTTTAATCTCGAGACGATCGTTCGACGCGTCCAAATATCTTTCGGATGTTTACAACGGGATTTCCGTCTCCCAAGAAATGGCGTCGAGCGCGGAAAAATAACTCGCGACAGAACTCGTGAAAACTTATCCACAGCGAAACGGCGTTTACGGTACGACTGTTACTATTTCGCGAAATGCCGCTGCGTATTTAACCGATTTACCGGAACGCGGTGAATAAAGTGACGTCGATACGTGCTCGTTTCAAAGGATGTTTCCCCGTTTCCTTTTTATTCTCTTTTTTCCTCTTTTTCCAATTCGCGAGCACGCCACGCGAACGTCCTTTCGACGCTCGTTAGCTCCATCGGCGAAAACAATTTCATTAAAACTCCGGCTTTCCTCCGGGAAGGCTCGTTCAACGCGACCGCGGCGTGTCCTGCTAATGACGCGTGCACGGAACTGGAAAACATCATGCATCGGTGTGATTAAATCCCGCTTTTTATCTTTCCCGTGCGCGATGCGAGCGGCGGTAATTTTAAAAAGCGCCTTCGTCCGGGGGTGAACGTATCCGCTTTGTCACGCGCGAAGTTGCAGCGACAAGACGGTCGTTGGCAAGGGGTGGACAATTATCGCGAAATTGACGGCGGGCGAAGGGGATGAGAGGAACGGGGGGACGCGAGAGCGCGGCAGAGAAAAGGGAATCGCGGGCGAAATTAGCGGAAAAGTTGTTTAATATAGAAAGTTGGGTAAGTCGCGGGGGACGAAGGAAAGACGACCATTGTGATCGCGACCTGCACGGCGCGCGGCGGATCGGCGCTGTCGTTTCGCCTAACAACTTCCCCGGTTAATGCCCGTAATTTATTTATTCCCCAATTATTTTCCGCCGGACCTTTCGGCCTCCGTCTCGCAAGTTGCTCTCGCTTCGCCGAGTGCCCTTCGACTTCTCCGCCGCTTCCAGCCAGTTTTTAAATTCATTCCGTCGGACGAATGGGCTCACCGGGCCATGTAATTTCCATGAAAAGACTAGGCTCGCCGTTTAAGAAGATTCCGTCTCGGTTTCGCGAGCTCGAACGAGCTTAGTTCCTCCGATAAGTGCGTCGATGGTCAAAGGTAAAGGCAGGTCGTCGCGCCGATTACTTCTCGCGTCTCGTCGTCCTCGAAGACGGCAATCGTCTAGATCTCGAACTCTACGTGGCGTCCCGAAAAAGCGACTCGACGTTTGCTCGTAACGGAATAGGTATAGTCCGCAAACGCGTTCAGTCGCGATTAAATTCCTGTGCGGATTGCCGGGACTCTGGCGGCCGGGGAACGGCACATGGTTGCCATAAATTACTCGTACTCGAGGCATCCGCGCGTGTTGGCGGCGAACGATTATGGTTTCTTCCTCGTAGCTGGCTTCGAAGCAGCCCAGATGGCAGGCGATGAAACGAGTTGTAAATGACGTTGTCCCTTCTTCGAGGGTACGTTGCCCTTGCGCTAAAGCCCGATCCGCACGCGGGAAAGAAGAAAGCGGAGGCGAGTGGCGCGTGACGCGTCGGTCGGACGATCGATCGAGCCGAGTGAAAAAAAGCCGCTGTCGTCTGGTGTTGGCGACACCGCGTTTTCGTGGCGTCCCTCGACCGCCGCCGCTCTCTGCTCCGCGATTCCGCGTCGGCTCGCCGCTCGGCCGATAAACCGCAGCGGGGGTCGAAGCCGAGGGCGTTCACCCACTTTCCGAATATATATTTAACCGATAAGCATCCAATTAGGGCAAATAATTAAAACCTATACTCGAAGCGAAAGTTAGCCGAGACGGGGAGAATACTCGTTAGCCCCTGGTTAATTGCTTCTTCCGCGTCATCCCGCGGCTGCTGCAGGCTGCTGTCGCGTACACGCTCGCGCGTGCTCCGAGCTTTAGGCTTAACCGTTTAGCCTGCACGCGATACGCGACTGGCGAGAGCCGATCGAGTGGCTGCTTAATTTCACGGTTCGTCGCTAGCTGAAAATTTCCCCCGAGCTGAGAACCCTCCCTGCCCGAGCTTCTTCGTGTCCTCCGTTTCTCCAACGGCTGTCTCCGAATTCCGGCAGACTAGCGACCAAACCATCCGCGTATCTCGTTACGCGTTCCTCTGCGTGCCCTATCGTGTGTCGCACGTGTAGTACGTTTACCGTGCCACGTAGAAGAGTAGGGTAGAAGAACGGGGGATCGGACGTGGAAAATATGCGATCGTTTTCGCTCGTCTCGAGCGCGAATAACGGAACGGTCGAGAGCGTACGCGGTTCTTTGTATACACGCCGCGAATAGCAATGGCGGACACGCAAATGGGCGACGCGTGAGTAAAAAGGAAGGCCAGAACCGACAGTGACTTTGACGAAGAAGCGACGCTCCGTTACACCCTATGCGTACTCGCGTACCGCGTGCACGGTGTGTATCGTTCGCGATGGAGTACACGGTATACGCGTGCATACCACGAGTACAGAACGCTGGCTGAGACGTATTCCAGCGACCACGCGAGCGTGCCAATAATCTGGACAATAGGCAGCCAGGATGGAAGGAAAGCTCGAGTGGCGATCAAAGTCGCGCACTCGACGGCGCCGAAGACGAGGGCGCTCCACCCACCGCTTTCGAAACTAATCTTCGACTCTTCTCTCTTTTTTCCGCTTTGTTTGCTCCGCTTATCCGCCGTTTTTCCTCGCGTTCCCCTTCCCAACTTTTTAGTTCCCTCGTCGTTGCTCAAACATTCTGTCGGCGAGACACAGAGAGACGGAGAGAGAGATTAGGTCGACAGATTTTCGCGCGTTTACGAGAGTAGACGGCGTAATTTGCGGTTTACCAACGACTCGGAGGGAATCGGAGAGAGATCAGACCGGTCTAGACCAGGCGAGTCCTTTCTTCCCCGTAGTAATTCCTCATCCTCCGACCACGCGAAGATGCACGCGCGCTAGGGGGATTCCAGAGGCTCGCGAGCCATTGTTTCGCGGACGAAGACAATTTTCCCGTCGCTTTCACACTGCGCCGGCCGCTCTTTCGAAATTCTCATTTAGTTTTTTGGGTGGCCGCCCGCTTCCAACGCCCTCGGCGCTGCTGCCACGGCCGGGTACCGCGGTTCCCGGATTTTTCCGCTTTTTCTCAGCCCGAGCGTTCGTCGCGTTCCAAAGAGGACCGTGCAAAAAGCGGCTAAACCGCTAGACCTCCTTTCTTTCTCGCCGTTCCGTTTCTCCAAGCAAAGATTTACGATAGATTTCGTTCCCTACCGATCGATCGACATCGTGCAGCGACGTTGGTCTAGCTCGCGAAATCGTTCCTACCGGTGCCTACGTGTCCGCGACGCGTGTACCACGCGTAGGTACACCTGTGGAAAATTGAACCACGGTAAAAACGCTCGTTGCCGAGACCGGACCACTCCCAGCTAGGACTCGACACAGTCGAGGTAATGCGACACGAATGCGCGTTATGCGTTCCTCCGTTGGAATTATTACGCGCGATGCGTACCGATTTCGGTGCAAGAGGGTTGCTTGGACTCGGACTCGGGGTGAATTGGCGCCGCTCGTTTCGCGAGATATCGATAATTTTGACAAGCCGTTATTAGCGATACTAATGGCGCCATCGTTTACGCTTATCGCGGTCGCTGTTCTCGATCTCGATTCGTTTTCTACAACCCTGGCGGTTTTTAACTTTCTGCCATAAAAAGGATAATTGCGGTGGTCCGATCGCGCGAGTCGCGTGTCACCGCGAGACGGTTTGCTCCACAGACGTGGAAGATTTATTACAGAGGTCTTTGTCGCGTGTACCAGAGTCGCGAAAAGCGAGACGTATTCGTACGCGGCGGCAGTCAAAGGGAATACGTATCAAAGTCGGATCCATTATTCGAATGGATCCCATATCGCGTCGACGACTCGAAGCATACTGCGCCTGTTCCTCCACGCGACACGACGCACAGTGAGGAATTTCGTCGAAACGCTGACCAAAATATGAAGGCATCGGTTGATTTCGACAGGTATTGATGTCTTTGGATTCCGGGGGTTGCGAGTTCGGAGTGAAAAGTAGAAAAAGAAACAAAATTTGGAAACTCCTGCGAACAGAAATTGATATTATGGAATATATATAATATCGATGATGTATCGCGCTGGAAAAATAGGAGGGTAAATTTGCAACAATCTTAATCTATCATAATTTACGTAACAATGCATGCGTAGCTCTTAGCTTGGCATCATTTTCCAAAGAAAAGTCTTTGAAAAACGATACCAATTACCAAGTCTCACCACGTGGAGGTGGCTACGCATCGAGACCCGGACATGCGCCCTAGTGGCGCAGCCTGCTGGCGCCATCTGTA